CTGGCGAAGCTCCACCCGGCCTTCCAGAACCCTCACCCGTCCGGAGCAAGAGGGTGCCCCGTGGGCGGGCTGGCTTAGCCGGGTCACCCACGTGCAGGGCGGGGCGAGGCCTCGGCTGGCTTGACACCTGCCGCCAGCCTGGCCAAGTGCAGGTGCCTCTTCCTGCTGGAGGGGACGACGGACCTGGGCTGCAGCCAGACCTCTCTGGTTCCAGGGAGGTGGCCGTAGGGCTGAGTCCTATGGGGCTGCTGCTGCTGGCTGGGCTGCTGGGGGGAGGAAGACCTGGTCACCTCCTGGTCACCTCCAGAAGGTTTCCAAAGAGAAGCTGGGGTGGGGGGGCACAGAGTGTGAGGACATGGAGTGAGGGGTGCTGGGAGACGAGGGCGGCTAGCTGGGTGCACGCCTGCCAGGGCCTTCCAGTGCTGTCGTAACAGATAACACCTGTCCAGTTGCACTGGTGTTACCTGAGGAGGTGACCCACGAAGGCGTTATTGTCACCCTTAACGCTTGAGCCCCACTCCACGAAAATGTAGGAAGGAAGATGAGTGGGGCTAGGAGGCTGGATGGGGAGAAGGAAGGTGGGGAGGTGTCTGGGGCACTGAGAGTGTATGTAGGAGAGACCCCAGATCCAGCCCAGTCACAGTGTCACAGGGAGAGGTGAGCAGATTCATGGCTGACAGAAGCCTCATAGGGCTCCCTGGGGCTCTGTGGGGCGTGATGTCTGTGGTTCCAAAGCACTGAAGTTCAAGAGTCAGGAAAGAGGCCTCAAGCAGTGCGTCCAACACAGATTCCTCCTAACTCACTTCCTGTTCCTATCTGGCCAGAAGCACCACACTCAGAAACCTGGGAGAGAGTGTGTGTGTGTGTGTGTGTGTGTGTGTCACCGTGAGGCTAGGGTTATGTGACTGCTGGTGGTGTCCCCTGCCACACACACTGCAGCGTACCTAGCAGTCTCAGAAAGGAGCATGACATTCTCCCCAAGTTCTGAGAACAACACAGAGATGCGTTCTCTGGCATCTCACAGCCCAAAGGCCTGGGAGGAAGCTCCACTGTGGTTTAAATAGCCTCTGTGACAAGGAGAGGAGCGCCCTGCGCTTGCAGTGCCTCCTTTGTCCTCCAGCACTGCTCCTCTGCTGGATGTCCCACCTCACCCACCTGGAGAGTGACGGTGGGCCTGTGGGCCACATGCAGCCCAGGGTACTGACCACTGTCTCTTGTTCTGTCCTGCAAGGCTGGGTACAGGGTCCATCTCTCCTGCAACTTCGTGTCCAATCATGTTAAGCCCCTGCCCTGGTGAACATACCAAGGACCAGAAGAGCTTCTTGCTGCTCCAGGGACCTGCCCACCTTTACAGAAATGCTAGCCCTTTAGATTTCCTGATCGGTGGGCTGGAGCCAGCTCTGACTTCCCTCAAGGGCTGGGATTTGAGCTCTCACAGCCAAGAGGCTAGGTGGGCTCAGGCCTGGGGAGGGACCAGGGACAGGAAGATAGAAGCTGGCATCAGTAGAACATTTCTGGAATCTGCTAAAGGGAGAGCCAGGGAGAGCACCTTCTTCACTCACTCTCCCTCCCTCCCCTCCCCTCTCCCAGAGGCAGACTTATCCTGAGTTTTTGAACTCTCCTGTCAGCGGTGCCCAGAGGCTGACGGCCCAGGGTGGAGGGCCCTAAGGAAGGGGGGCCTCAGGGCGGCACTTGGCTTTGAATGGCAGCTGCTGCACCAGCTACTTCTGAAAGGCCTCCCATAACCTGGGGAGGTTCTCTTCCCCTCCTCGGAGGAGGAAGGGACCAGGTCTGAAGGTGGCTGAGATGGCCATGTGGCTGAGATGGCCATATGGCCAAGAAAAGCCTACCCAGCCTCAGCCCAGGATCTTACTGGAGCAGCAGCACTGGTTGAGCCCTCCATGCCGCCTCATTCCAAATTTCCTCCTATTTTGATCTTAAACATTCCCACTGGGATAAACTGGGATGAGCTGAGGATGGTTCCATTCACTATCAAGAGTTGTATTTTTGTACTGTCCTCTCTTTTATGCCAAGTATACATGTGTTGGATCGTGCAATGGATTTATGTAGCAAACTTGAGTCGCAAATAAAGCAAAGTAACCAGCCGCAGGTGGAGTGTGCTGCAGTTCTTATGAGGAAGGAGGGTCTTCTAACACCAGGGGGATCTAGAGACCCCGTAAAATACCCAACAGAGTCAGGGACATTCAGTGATTGACTTTCTCAGAGAAAACTCTAACAGCGCAATTAGAGGATTTGTCCTCGATTACCCACCAGTGACCAAGAAGGATGGAGCCTTCAGGTGAAGTAGGGTCTTCTCTCCTTCTTCTTCTTGAGATTCATGGAGTGTCCTAAGCTCTATAGCACGGTGTTGCCAATCCACTCTGGGATTTAACTTGGCCACTTGCCCTCTGAGGACAGCTCAGTCCTGAGGTTTAGAGAATATTATTTCCTGTCCTTGGACACAGAACTCCATCAACCCACTAAGCAACTCTCCTCACAGTGAGGGGGAGCTTGATCAGACCATCCCCTTCTCACGGCACCCCCCCCCTCTTGGGGGCTCTCCTCACTTCTGGGGTTTTGTTTGGGGAGCCCCACCTTTGGTGATCAGCCTTCCTAGGCTGGAGCTGCTTCTTGCCAGTGGCAGGCTCCATGTTTATCACTAAGGATTAACTGCATCATGCTAAAACGTAAATTTGGTTTTAGTCACTTAATCCCTCCCTGGGTCAGAGTCCAGGAGTCCTGGAGTGTTCCGGAAGAACTTATCCTTCTTCCAAACAGACTAAGTAACGCATTATTGGGGATTAAGACTCCTTTCTCTCCTGAGAGAATGGGTGGAAGAAGAGATCCATCTGGTTTGGACTGAAGGTGGCAAAAGCCATTAGGTTCCTTTCTTATTCACCAGTGTTGCTTAGCCAGATAAAGGCTCATCTTCCTGTTTACACACACTGGTCCGTGGGTTGGCTTGACAAGTGTGGGAGAAATTTCAGCACAGAATCCATCCCCATCTGCTGCTTTCCTCTGGCTCTACTACCAAGAGGGAGTCAGAATCTGACTCTCCTTGGCTCAGGGCTTTTCTGAAGAATGTGCTGCTTGCAGCTGGTACTCCTGCAGCCTCCGGGAATTCATCTGGCAAGATAATGGCGTTTGATGGTAATAACCCTAGGGTCACAGTAATGCCCAGTACTCTGGGGGAAATGGTGGGATTTCAGTCCCATTTGCTTTAATTCAACAACCATCAGAAACATATTGGTAGATGAGACATTAGGTATCGGTGTTGAAATGCACTGTCGAGGTTGTGATACCCAGTTCCCTCTCTATGAATGATCCTCTGGACGCTCCCCTCCCCTCAGATTTCCCCCAGTTTCTCTGCAAAAACCACCAGTGACACCAAGTCACTCCTACCTAAGATGAGTCATTCCAAAGTTGGGCAAAAACCCTTAACTCCTAATGAGCCAAAGTGGGCTTAGTTCTGACCCCTGAAGCCACACAACTCTTTAGGTACTGGTATTTGAAGACAACTCTCATAGCCTGCTTCTCAGTGTTAAATCTCCAAAGCTTGTATTAGGCAAGGCTAGATTATACTGCAGTGACAAATGTACCACCCCCCAAATCACACTGCCTTAAAACAATAAAATTTACGACCTGTTCATGAGTGACTACTTTCTGGCAAGTCTTTTTCCCAAGCGATGGCAGTGATTCAGGATTCGTCCATTAAGAGCTTCCATTATCTTGGGGTCTTCCCCTTCCATCCATACAGGTAGGAGAAGGAGCATAAAAAGATCCTCACAGAGAGGTTACCGCCAAGTCTGGATGTAGTTGGTATTCCTGCTACTCACACTCTGTTGGCCAGATCCCAGTCACATGGCCCCAGTGTGACTGCAAGGGAGGCTGGGAAATGTAGTTTTCCTTTGTATGCAGGAAGAGGAAGCGGAATTGGTGAGGGTCTGGCAGACTCTGACAGACAGCTCTTCAAGCCACCTCCACATAACAGGGTTTAAGCACTCACCTTCCTGTACCTCATCTGAACAACACTCACCTCTTCAAAGATGATGCTTGGATTGGAAGCAAACTATGACCTGCACTGGGGACAGAAGGACCATTTACCGCACTGTGCTTCTATTGATGCCATGGCCTTTCTGGCAAGCACATCACATCACTGACATCTAATGAGTTGATGTGAATTGCTGTTAAGTCACATCTTCTCCATCCTGCCTAGAGCAGTGGTCTTTTGAATCTGAGAGTTAGACTTCACTGTGGAGCCAGTGGAACCCCTATGGAATGGGCAGAAAGTGGGATGGACTAAGGTGGGGCTGGTGGTCAGTAGGGCCTATGCAATGAGAGGCAGAAAATGACCCCAGAGGAATGCCCTGCCCAGGTAAGCAATGGGGCAGCACGTGGCCAGAGGACAGCCAGGGGACTAAGGAGCCCTGACCTCCTTCCTGGTTCATTTACCTTCCAGGCCCACCTGCAGGGTCCATGGGACATGTGCACCTCAGACTGCCCAAGGTCTCCAGCCTGCCCTTGAACACCCACAGAGCATCCCAGGTACTGCTTACCAGGACCATCCCCCCAACAATATTCCTGGAAATGCCAGGGATGCTCACACACCCTAAGAATCCATCCTGGTGGACGCTTCAGCCCATCTCTCTCCCTGGGCCTCCCCACCATTCCTGTAGGTCACCTCTTGTCCCCTGTAACCAGCTTCTCCAGGTGGCAGCCATGCTCACCATGGCACCTCAGATGTGGACGCGAGCCCTTCCCCAAAGTGCAGCCAAGACTAGGATGAACTCAAGCAGAACTTAACTAAAGGCCTGAACTGCATCCTGGAACTCAGAGCTCCTGTGGTCTCTGGGCTGGACCCTGCCAAGGAGCCTTCTCCTGGCCCTTCCTTGGACCTCAGCCCCTGCTGCAGGGCCACAGCCTGTCTCTCCCTGCAGGGGGTACTTTGGATGCCTCACTCGAGAACTAGGACCCCTACTGTCAGCTTTCTCTGGGCTCCACCCAGGTCTTAGCCTCTTTCCCAAACAACTTAATCATCTCCCCGTAAACTTCTGCCCACAGGGAAGCTAACCTATTACACAGTCATGCCACAAACTTCCCCATGCCGGGATAGACTTCTGCTATTACGACTGCAAAACCAGAGGCCCATTAGTGTATTCCCCCCAAATATGAGTCAGAAGAGGGCTGGCAGCCTTAGCAGATATGGTTTCCTCTCTTCCAGCCATCAAGATTTCAGCAATGTCAGGTGCACTCTCAGAGGCCCCCATTACGTGCTGCTCTGCAGTCCCAAGTCAGGGACACAAATTATAATTGGAGGACACTTGGCCAGTGAGGCTTAGAGCTGAGGCAGGTCACCGAGCTGTGAGAAGTCACAGATGGAGAGGGACTGTGAGCATGTTACAGAGGCCACATGAGCCCTGATGCCTCACCAGCCGGAGCACAGACCTGCAGTGGGGACTCCCCACCAGAATGACAAAGGGACGACACGACAGCCCGCACCCCAGCTACTGGCTGGGGGCTTCACCACGCCCTGTGTAGGGAGTGCTGGAAGTTAACGTCAGATCACTTAACTAAACACTTAGGTTTTATTGTTGAGTGTACAACTTAATTTCTACAGCATGTGTTCCATGCTTTAGAGCTAATGCCCCAAAAGGAAGCAAACTGGACATGTTTAAGGAAATAAAATAAAATAGACACAATAAACGTTTGGGGCCGCAGCTGGGAAGCAGGACTACTCCATCTGGATGAGCCAGCCGTCACTCGGCACAAGATACACTGCTGGTTCAGTAGTGAGTGTCATGGGATGTGGTCAGTGACTACGCCTTGGATTTGGTTGGAGAACGTGCAGTGGGAGGTAGTGAAGGAGACAGAGTAAGCTGATGACTGTCTAGGAGGACTCTGTGAGCGATCTAAGCCCTGGGTGGTCCGGACCCACCCCCGGGCACCAGGAGTGTGGCCGCCGTCCTATGCAAGGAGGGCAGAATCTGGCTCCGGAGTTGGGGTGAGCAGATGGGGAGGGGCAGAGGGAGGCGATGGTGATAAACTTAAGCTTCTAGGCATCTTTTGCCTAAATAAACAAAATGCTGTTTGAAAAGGAGATTTTCAAAGGTATAAATATTTTGTCGGTGGTGGTGATGAGTAAACCTTGAGTGATGCCCTAGAGCTTCATTATATACACTACACAGTTGTACATTTTGCTGTTTCTTAATGAGCCTGGGGGATTATTCAGGGCCCCCTTATGTCTGCCTGGCGGTTCACTGCTCAGTGATCGGTCAGAAGACTCTCAGAGCAGACTCCATGGGTGATCTGAAGAAGCCCTGGTGAGAAGGGTTGAAACCAATGCCTCTTCCACACTTAGGAATAATAGCAGAAATTGGAACCCCCAGAGAAGTGTTTTCCTTGGTTCGCATCACTTGCACCGCCCTCCCAGGAGGTGGGCATGAAGTTTCCCAGGCCAGAGTGAAGCCAGGGTTTATTTGCAAGGCTATTGTGGAAGGATGCTGGGGCCCTTGGGGCCCTCCTCCCTAGATCCAGGCGTGAGCATCTGGTCCGCACCCCCCATGCCTCTAATGTGCACGGTCACCCGTGCACTGTGGTGATGTCCACCAGCTTCTGGATCATCTGGGCGTGAGTGTCGTGGAAGGGCAGCCCGTCCACCTCCATGCCCACGAGGCCTGAGACTCCACTCCGGACTCTGTGCCGCACCAGGATGCTCAACATTTTTTCTTCCTGGGGAAAAATGGGGGCAGAGATAGAAGTAGAAGAGGGGGAGGAAAAAGAAAGAAATACATACATTTCTAACTGGAAAAAGAGTGTTCGACTTGACATAGTCTCTTTTTTAAAAATAAGACTTTGGTTAAAAATACTAATGCCACTGGGAAACTCATAATGAAAAATAGCAGCATCCTACATCACTCATCGGCCCCCAGATCCACTCCCTAGAAGCTGTCACTTTGAACAGTTTGGGCTATTTCTTCATGTAACTGAATAGTAGCCTTTTTATGGAAAACTGCATTTTCCTAACAAACACTAAAGCTTCACTTCTGCAGGTGCTGCGTGGCTACTTCCGGCCAACCTAACCTTGCCCAGCTCTGCGTTATCTGCCTTTGTGCCACGGACGCCCCAGTTCCTCCTGAGACCCCACTGTTAGCCTCCGGTGGGGATGGGCCACATCCTGCTGCGGTCACCGTCTAGATCTCCCCCAGCATGGTTGTGGGAGCATCTGGAGGGAGCAGGGCCACAGAAAATGCAGCCCCAACCTGGGCCCAGCAGGCAGAATGGTTTGGGATCAATCAGATCTGACTTGGATCTCTGCTGGGTATTTTAAGCTCTCTGTGCCTCAGCGTCCTCATCTGTATAATGGGGCGGTTGGTGATAACAACAATGCTTCCTTAGAGAACTGATGTGAGGACTAAATGAGATAATGCAAGTAAAGCACCTAGCATGGTGCTGGGCACACAATAGGTGCTCATGAAATCAGGTGGATTATCACTGGCAGGGCTGGGTTCCCAGGTCTTTAGCCCAGTGCTATCTTCCTTAAACTGACTAAATTTTTATTTTAAGTGATTTGAGTTGCCTCCTCCTATCTCCCTCTAAAGAGAAGTTCCCAAAGAACCAACTGTCTAAGCCACCAATGCGTCTGTCCCTGGATGAATAGCTCAGGTCCCCCTGAGGAAGGTGAGTCTTAGGCAAAGTCACAGGAGAGAAGATGGTGCCCAAGGGCAGAAGCAAAGCACACCCTCCTCCTCCTTTACCAACAAAGGAAGGGGACAGAGGAATCTAGGACAGGAGGCTTAGGAAAGACATGAGCGGGGCTCTCCTCCTCCTGCTTAGGCATTTGCTCTCTCATTCCCTCACCCACCACAGTTTTACTGAGCACCTGCTATGTGCCAGGCCCTGCGCCAGGGATACAGTGGTGAACGTGACACAGTCCTCGTCCCTGGGGTCACATTCTAGATGAGCAAGCAGGCAGGCACAGCCCTTGGTGATCAGAGCACAGAGCAGGAACACCCAACCAATTTACTGAAGTGGTTCAAGAAAGACTTTCTGGACGAGGCATGACTAAGACCACAGGTGACGAAAGAGTGAGAATGGGCCAAGCCAGGGGGTCTGGGGAGCACTCATTGAAAACTTCAAAACAATGGAGAAAGTGTTTGTAAATGTCACCCAAGATGTGTCTCTACTCTCCGCTGGCCTGAGAGCCTGCATTTCCATTCTTCTCTGGGGGACAAGGCGGGAGGGGGGCCCAGGAGCATTCCCAGGCAAGCTCTTTGTCCAGCAGCCCTTCCCAGGGGCTTCCCAGCCCCGAACAGCATTTTCCAACTTCTGTTTGGTATCTGTTCCCCCATTTCTCTTCTCCATTGGGTCACATCCTTTCTTTATGGGGCAATGCTTCTGGGATCTTAGGACCAGTTCCTCCCAGCACACTGCCTGCCCCATCATCCACATCCTTCTGGGTTCCAAGGAGGACCCTTGGGGTCCTCAGGGTGCATGAGATCAGTCAGCAGCTTAGGAACCGGCTGGCCCTCAGCCTGTAAGAGCCACCGGGAACAGCTGGGCCAACAGTGACTGCCTGCAAATTTCCAGGAGTCAGGGAATGACTACACCATCTTACAGGAGGCCCCACCAAGTGGAGGTGGTGGTGACAGGGGAGGAGAACTGACCAGGGAGTGGCTGGAGGCAGAGTACCTGGGGGCTGCCTGAGACAGGAAGGGCAGGAGGGGAGGGACAGAAGACTGAAGCCAGTAGAGTGGGCAGGGCTTGAGGCCTAGTTCACTGTGTCTAGGGAAGGAGGCCCCAGGATGACTTCTGGGCTTCCAGGCTGAGTGTAGGGGTGGTCACTATTAATTCACGCTTGGAGCATAAGGGGCTGATATTCATGGGTAGATGATGTTGCTGTTCAAAGCGGGGTGGGAGAAAGGGGCCTCCTGGGAAGTTGGAAGTCTTCTGTGTCGTGATCTTGATGGTGGCTGCACGGGTGTATACATATGTAAAAATCCCACTGTACAACTTCACTGTGTTAGTTATACCTCAGTTTAAACAAAGATAGAAAGAAAAGTGGAATGGGATGAAAGGGCTGGGAGAGAGTGGGATCCAGGATGCAGTCAGAGACCATGTTGCTGCCTCTGCATCATCCATCCATCCATCTGTCCGTCCACCCATTATCCACTCATCCACCCAGCCAGCCAGCCAGCCAGCTAGCCAGCCCGCCATCAGGCTGTCCATCCACCCATCCACCCATCTGAAGTTCTTTATATAAGCTGTCTCCAGTCAGCTCTTGGCTCCTGACAAGGTGTGGGGAATGACTTCCAGGCATTTGCTTTGCCCTCAAGTAAAACCCCTGGGCACAGCCAAGGGCCAGAGTGGGCAGGGTGTGCCCCGGATGGTGGTGGGCACCTTCCTTGGGCTCCTCAGTATGGTGACCACTCCTGTCATAGTCACAATCAGGTCCCCTAAGAACTGTCCCTGAATATAGAGGCCCTACTTGTAAACAACACATGGAGCAGAGATGAGGACATTCCTCCACCCTCTAACCAGTCCAGCTTCACCAAAGCTCAGGCCACAGCTCTGCCCAGCATCCAGGGCCCCACGGAGTGACTGCAGAACTCCAGTACGAGAACCTAGTTATGCCCTGCACACCACACTGCGTCATGTCCCTGCGCCTTTGCTTATGTGTGTCCTGCTGCCTGGAAGGTCCTTCTCACACTTCCTCTCCTCCTCCTTACATCCTACTCACCCTCCGAGACCCAGTTCAGTGCCACCTCTTCTAGGCAGCCTTCCTTGAGCTCTCAGAATGAGCTAAAGGACCTGTTTGCTGTGTCTCCACAGCAGTGTGGCATTTCCATCCTGGCTCCTAAATCACCTTTCAGGTGTTGTCTCCCCTGTGGATCCCAAGTTCCCTACCCCTCACTGTCTCCCAGAGCAAGCCTGGGGTTGGCCCAGAGCCGGGGCTCAACAAACATGTTTTTACTTTTGCTTTAAAGATGTTCCCTTTTATTTTCTTTATAAGGATGACATATTATTAATGTATTTATGAGAGACTGGGTTGAAATGTGGAAGGAGAACTTCCACCCCCAGAGGGTAAGGGTTGGGGCTGCGTGAATTTGTTTGTCTGGGTTCAGTCTTTTGTGTCTGTGTGAATCAGGAATCATGTGTGAGGCAGCCCTCTGAGTGTTTTTTCCAGTTCAGATCCAGGAAGTGCAAAGAAAGCACAGAAGGCCCTCTGGGCCCCATCAGGGCAGAGCATTTTCCCTGAACATGCCACTGCAGCTGCCAGAGCCCTCCTTTCCTGTCCCTTCCGCACGGTGCCCTGGCAGTGCCAGGAATCCAGAAACTTCTGAGCCACATCAGGAAGACCCCAGACTACGGAGTCAGAGCCCAGACTCAGATCTCAGCAGCTGGCCTACGGGGAATGCCCAGAACTGCACACAGCCCTTCACAGCTGGCTCTGCAGCTGGAGGAGCCCACACAAAAGCCACCCAGTGGGTCCCTGATTCCTTGCTGGCCCATGGCTTATGGCTTGAAATACCACGTCTACTCCTCAACTGGAAAAAAAAAGTTGTGTCCATGAGAGTGGCCTGCTAGGGTATGTTACCTTAGCAACAGATGGGAGAGCCTGAGTCCAGCTCTGTGCCCCAGGTGCTCTGAAGGGCCCAACTGCCTTCCTCAGGTAACGTCTGTGGACCTCACATGAGTTCAGGATGTACAGCGCACAGGCCAAGGCATAACCTCCCCAGTTAGAAACGCCTAGAACAAAAAAAGATTCTGTCATAGAACTGGAAAGGTCATGCAGTTTGTCTGGGAAGAAGTTTTCCTCTATTATTCTAGGTTCTTCTGGCTGGTCTGACAATTAAATTGACGTGAAACCAATTAAAATCAGGAGAAAATCAAACAGAAGTTTAATAACATGTACACATGGGAGAAATCCAGGAGAACCGAGAAATACCCAAATGGCTGAAGCCCTCATCTTAAATACCATTTTCAGCTAAAGAAAAGAGGATGTTGGGGGCACTGGTTTGGGACTTCAAAGGGGAGGATGGCAATTCACATGGAGCTGTAAAGGAAATGATTGGTCCATAACTGTATTCTGAGCCGTGCAGAGACAGTGGGATAGAGAGTGGACTCAGAGCTCTAGGTCTTGCCGAGTTGTCCCCAGCATACCTAGCACAGATTCTTTGCAGGGATCCCTGGTGGCAGGTGCTAGTATGGGAATAAGCCCTTCATCTAAATCCTTTAGGCAGCGAAAGGGGAGTTGAACAGAAAGACTTCGTAAGTCTTCTGTTTCTTAAAACTAATCAGCCTAGATTAATCCTCATGCCAAGGAGGCACATTTTGGGGTGGCAGATTTTGCTCCTTACATCCCCGCTTTTGAGACTTCTTGAAGAAGTCTCAGTCCAGAAGCTGACTTGGTGAATTGTTTCCTCTCATTAAACCAGTCTCTCAGTCCTCCTGACAACAGGTCAGTCCAGTTAATCCCATTTCAGGAGGTGCTGATGCAGGTGGGCTCTCAAAGCTAGGCTTATAAGGTGCAAGCAATCAAGTATTTAATCTGAGGCATTTCTATGGGGACGAAAGAAAATAAAAGTTGGAGTAGATTATAAACCCAGGGTCTGAGTCCTGAGAACTGCCAGTTGAGAAGATTTCTAGATGTCAGGCTCAAAGCATCTTTTGCAGTTTGAAATGTCTTTGATGATGTCATCAGGTGTTCAGGTAAACTTTCTGAGTGGCTTAGGG